AGAATTTTTGTCCTCATAGCTGTTGGAAGAAAAACCGTTTTTAATTACTTTTAGAATTGCACCTACTGTGACATATTGCGCGTCATATTTTCAAATGCTTCCAGGTGCCACAGAACTGTTATTAAAACTGTGAATGTTTAATGATGTTCACACTTTTAACTACTGTAGGTGTAATTTTGGATCTTGTGATTCCAGTCATGCGAGTTTCTGGGGAGTAGAGAAAGAGCAAACGTTCATGAGCTTATGTTAAACACAGCTGTCTCCTCACAATGTCATTTTATTTTCATCTATTGTGGAAGTTCTATTGTGACTTTAAGTACTCTTTTATATCTACAATTTACTAATGCACACTGGAGTTTCAAAGTATTCAGCGCATATCAAGGTAGTGACGCCTTTCTTTTAATGGCCTATCCATCAGTGAGAGACGCAGCTATTTTAAAAACAATTTTGAACTTAATAAAAACCAAAAATGAAAAACATGAAAGAAGAAAAATGAAGATAAACTAAATTTTATGCAAGAACAAATGCTCTAAATGTTGAACATGATTAAATTATGCAGAACCCTGCAATCTTTACAGTGTACTGATGATATTTTTTTTATTTAAAAAAATGTCATTTAGATGAGTGTTTCTCAACCACGTTCCTGGAGGACCACCAGCACTGCATGTCTTGGATGTCTCCTTTACCTGTTACACCCATTACAGGTCTTTTAGTCTCTGTTAGTGAGCTGATGATATAAATCTGCTGTTTTTGGTAAGGAACGCATGGGCATTTTTTAATTCAAATTTGAAAGAAATGTCATTTGTACACTGTAAAAGTTGCAGGGTTCCACACAATTTATTTATACTGTCCCAACAAAAATCAGTTAAGTTAACATAATGATTTAGTAGATTTAACATAAGTATACTGAACATAAAATAATTAAGTTGTCCCCCAAAAAAACTCATGAATTGGTTGTTTTAACTCATTTTAAACAGGTAGTTTGAACAAGCTATAGAATATGTTTTTTGAGTGCATCCTGAGTAATAAAACAATTATTAATGTTTTACTCAAGCACAGGAGTAATAATAAGTAATATATATATATATATATATATATATATATATATATATATATATATATATAATATGTATAAATATATATGCCTAAAAAGCCAGGCTTTTGCCCATCATAAAAGGATTCAGGTTTTGCATATCTTAAAAGATTTCTCTCATCCAAGGCCAAAATCTAGAGGCCTTTGATCACCACTTTGACATTTGTACAGCCTTCTGATGAAATTCTGCCAGTGTCTGGAGTTTCAAAACACAGTGTGGCTTGTCCTACACTTAATGTCAAATCAAGAACCAATAGGAGTACAGAACGTCATGTCACAATTAGTGACAATTACAATTATAAATCAGCCTACAATGCATCCCCAACTCAGAAACTCTGTTATCAGAGTTCAACACAGACTCTATGATATTGTTAACTGCAACATATTGGGCCCTATCATACACTCGGCGCAATGTGGCGCAAGGCGCGGCACAATACTTGTTTGGTAGTTTCAGCTTGGCGCAAGAGTTGTTTTGAGGCGTTGCGCTACGCTGTTTAAATAGCAAATGCATTAGCGCTCATATGTGCGTCCATAGGCGTTCTGGTCTAAAAAAAGGAAGGCATTCTGAGGCGCACGGCTGGTGCGTCGCTATTTTGAGAAACTAAAATAGATTTTTCATTAGACCAAAACAAACCTGGTCTAAACTCTGACGCAGAGTTGCGCCTCTCTTACAGACTTTTAAATACACACAAGAGAGCAATAGGCAAATATCTTTACATATGAAAAAAAATTTAATATTAAGGATATATATAGGATATAATAAGAATAGATATAGGATATAAATATAAAGGATTAAAATATTACAAAACATATTATTTTCTAGCCTACATAAATATGAAAAATCACTGCTTTTATGTCTTCTTCATCTCGGGAGGCTTTTTCAGTTCATTCATAACAATTTGCTTTTGTATAATGTTATTAGTATTAGCAGTATTATTTATTATATCCATATTTATATTTGTTTTATTAAAAACAAGCTTAGATTTGCCCACCTGTCAGGTTTTAGACCATAAGGGGCACAGCATGTGTTTTAGGATATAACTCAGGTTTTTGAGCACACTTCGTTAATATTGTTCATTTATTCGTTTGCTGGAAATTAGAACTGAATTTAGAAATAGTTTTGAAACGAATATTTGCGCTTAACAAACGCGATTAATTATTTATAGACTAATTCATGTCTGTGCGTAAAGGTTTCCCTATCCAAGAGCGAAAGTGAAAGTGATCCATTATCTCTCATTCTCACGCAGTAGATGCTCTGTTTAACAGTTTTCTTTTAAAAAAACTGTTAACTGTTGACTGTTAAATTTGCTAGTGAAATGCTCAGTTTTTCCACTTAGACTTTACGTCCTGTAAATAGCGAATGCGCTTATGGCGCAACGCAGCTGGCTCTCAAAGGGAATGGGAGATGAGACTCTAATTGGTTTATTCTCAAAACACACCTATAACTCATTAAGAAAATAAACTCAACCCTTTTAGACCATGCGCCTTGGCGCAAAGCGGATTTTCCCATCAGTACATTAGCAAAAATGCGTTCTGACACGCCCTGAAAGCGTTTGCGACCTGCGTTTTGCGCTCTGCGCTCTGCGCATGGACCGTCAAGATAGAGCCCATTGTGTTTAACTGTAATTTTATTTCAATTAATGCTGTCAATCTATTAAAAAAATTTACTAACTAATCGCAATTAAAAGACTTGAGAAGAAGTTGTGATTTTGGCTATTTAAATGTAAAATGGAACAATGTTAACTCGATACAAAGAAACTATGTAAATTCGAAATAGGACTGTTTATTAGAATTTTATTAAATTCATGTAAACAACATACCTGCAATAAACCTCAGGATCATCAAACTGTTGGCTTGAAAGCCATATTTGTTACAGACATAAAAACAAGTGCCATTTGAATTTGAAAATAATCCAAGGCCAATAAAAAACAAAAATGACTTCCATGTTGGATGCTAAGCGGACTATAAAAATACCAAAATACAGGCATTGCAAATATGGAAATTGGAAAATTATAATAATAAAGTAATGAATACAAACAAATCCTTCAAACATTCATTCATTTTCTTTTCAGCTTAGTCCCTTTATTAATCTGGGGTCACCACAGCGGAATGAACTGTCAACTTATCCAGCATATGTTTTTATGCAACGGATGCCCTTCCTGCTTACTCATTCACACTCATTCACAACGGACAATTTAGCCTACCCAATTCACCTGTACCGCATGTCTTTGGACTTGTGGGGGAAAATAAAGCACACAGAGGAAACCCACGCTAACACGGGGAGAACATGCAAACTACATAAAGAAATGCCAACTGACCCAGCCAAGGCTCGAACCAGCAACCTTCTTGCTGTGAGGCGATTGTGCTACCCACTGCACCACCGTGCAGCCTACAAACAATTGTACTCGTTGAAAAGTTGTATTGCTGAAAGTTAAAATTTGAGACAGACCACTCTGTTGACATTATTAGGGACAATGTGGCTCTTTTATTTGGATTGATGTGAATTGAAAGTAAGAATATTCTCTCACGGGTAGGGTTGGGTACCGAAACCTGCGACAAGCACATAAGAAGCCTTAAGTGGTACATCAAAGGCACACATAGGTACGCGTTGTGTCACACCACAGACTATAGAATGTTTAAAAGGGACTTTAGTCACACCATCGCAAAACATTTAATTCAAAACAATTTTGAGGGATAAAGACACCGTTGGCGATGTTTGTTCTTATTGCTAGGAAATGCACGCACATAGGCACCGCTTGCCGTACAGCGCATACGATGAGCAACTCCCTTCAGATTCACTAACATGCATGATAACGGTCATCAAACTGCTTAAACTAGTTTGACACAACGACGTTATCGTTAATTGTTTTATACTGAAACTTTCCGTCTAAAAGTCCTTCCTTGGTCTTACTTATATTTCTTTGCACAACGGCTACAACAGGAAATACAAAACTGCAAACATGGTAATTGACTTTAAGTGTAAAATACTTCAAGCTAATCGCATGCGTTAACGTGCTAATTTTGACAGCATTCATTTTTCTTTAAATCCATGATTTCTGGATTCCATATAAATAAAGCTATCAATTCATATAAACATTGTACAAAATTACCCAGTCTGTCTCTAAACAAGCTTCTTTGTGTGTTTATGTCCATATAGAATTGAAATTCACTTGTTAAACTTATAGCTGAGAACACATTCACACTGTCTGACAAACTTCTGTATCACAAATCCTACAGTGTCCACTGATCTAAGATAGGGAAACTATACATCTTTAATATATTTACATGTCCTAAAACAAAACTAGATAAGACTGATGCTAATATTCTCCAACTAGCAAAATATCAGCAGATTGATTGGCTTGACTTGCAACACAATATTGGGTTAAATGTATAATTCACCCAAAAATAAAAAATTTACTCACCTTCAAGTGGTTTTGTAGTGTACCTTTACAAGTTTCCATTTTTTTGGTTTAACACAAAGGAATATATTTTGAAAAAAAAAAAAATTGAAACCAGTAACCCTCTCTAACCCTGCCTATTGTAGGCAAAACAAATACTGTGGAAATCAATGCTTCAGGTTTCCAACACTTTTCAAAATTACTTATTTTGTGTTCAACAGAAACAAGTGAACAGTAAGTAAATGATTTCATTTTGGATCAACTATCCCTTTAAGGACATGGGAGTGTCCTGGAAACTACTAAAATCACTGTCCACTATGTAGCCCAAGCAGGATCTAATCACAGGCTGCAGAACAAGGACTATCACTCGATTAGTAAATACAAGTCACTGTGGATGAACTGCGTTAATAATAATCTTTATAACAAATGAAAACGTCACATTATTGTAGATTTACACTTATTTTTGCTAATACCTAAAGTGTACCAACAAGTCTTTCAGTATCACTAACCTCTCTGATGAAGGACTCCAGCGTGGCGTAGGCAATGGCAATGCCGTCGTGAGTGCTGGTGCCTCGACCCAACTCATCCAGGATGACCAGGGAACGGGATGTGGCACAAGCCAAAACATCTGACGTTTCCAGAAGCTCCTCCATAAAGGTGCTTCTGCCTCTGGAGATGTTGTCAGATGCTCCCATTCTGTCAGAAGCAATTCCAGTTAAAAAAAAAAACTCAAATTAGCAAACAAATAAATATGGGCAACAATTTTAAAGATTAAATGCTGTCACAATTTAGTAATCTCCATGTCATTCTAAAGCTGACTTTCTGTGCGAATCGTGTTATAACAGAGCAACACAAACAGCACACAGAAGTATAAATGCACCGAAACGAGCAAGGCATGCACCATGGGTCACGCCAAACACTTGATGCAGAAATATAAACCAGGTTTTAATCTGATTTCAAAAAGATTTGACATTTCTAAATGAATCAGCCATTTCAAATAAATCATTCTATAACTTTGACGCCGACCAAGCCATTAAGATTGACACAATTTAAAATAATTCTCAACTAAAATCTGCTTACAGCTATGTGTAACTGCAATGTCGGAAGGGTTCTTCGGCAGTTCATTACAAAGGCCACAGTCAGCATTAGAGATAAGACTAACTTATATCTAGCCTAATGAGAGAGGCAGGCAGGTGATAATGAAAATGGTCTACAAACACGCAACAAACTGCATTGCCTGTGAGAATAAAAAGTGTTTAAGTAATTATTAGTTAGCTTTTTTCAAAGCTACAGGAGCTCTACAGTAAATGATGAACCACAACATGATCACATGGCTTACCCCTTATGTGGCATTCATTTAAATGTTCATAAGAAAAAACCCTAGAGTTTTACTTTGGGTAACGAAAAGGCTTCTGAATCTTGATGAAAATTATGTTGTGTTCAATGTCAATGCCATATATTTCACCCTGGACTACAATAGAATTGAAATATTGACTAAAGATTATCTTCTACGATAATTAATTAATTTTTCTTCAGCTTAGCCCCTTATTTAAAAGAAGTCGCCACATCAGAATGAACCACTAAATATTCTGGCATATGTTTTATGCAGCGTATGCTTTTTCAGCTGCAACCCATAACTGAAAAATACCCATATATTATATTTTGCAAATTTTGCACTGTAAATAAATCAAAACTGATTAAACTGGTTTAAATTAGTAATGCAAATTAGCAACTTCATTTGCATTTTTGTTTTTGTTAAAGCATAAAACCTCAATTACAAAAAAATTGACACTTTTAGCTGTTTTTTTTAGTATAGGGTCACATATGGTACTTTGGTCATGGGTTAAGTCAAAGATGCTGCAGGAAAAAAAATCAGCAGACAGAGGTAAACAAACCTCTAGAGTATGTTTTTAAAGCAGGTCTCTTGATCTTTAGCTGCTGTATTAAACAATGTTAACTTTTAGATTTTTCTTTTCTTTTTCCATCGGTTAGTAGAAAATCAAGCCAAATGCAATGGTATTAGGCAAGATATAAATCAATTAATGTTTCAGCCATTATAGGTCATGTGTACAGATCCCCAGATCGCAGAATTATCCTTTCTTAACAGCTAACCTGAAAATCATTCCCATTATCCTGATAAGGAGCTTCATCCTACGTTTAAATTGAATAAAACGCCACAGAGAAGCTTTAGCTGGACTAATAGCACAGCTCTTGGCCATGCTTGACAGAAAGCACAGATGGTATCTCTAGTCTGCTTTGCTGTAAGCCACAGCAACAAAATGGTGCTTCCATGGCATTTGTTGCTTTTATTTCTCTCTTTTTTTTTTTTTTTTTGTTGCATTTTAACATCTATACATTTTAAAAACATGCATTTTATTCAGAGTTTTTATAAGGAGATTTCATTCAAGAAATTATGCTTGAGCTGCAGGGCAATTTCCATTTTGAGGGCTTCTGAGTCAAGAGCGATTACATTTATCAGATGATTTGATTGCAGTTGCAATTATACTGTTTTCTATGAAAATCAGAATAAAAAAGTTTTTTTTACACATTTTAACTAGTTTTACACTGACTAATATGTTCATAGAGTATAAAGTATGTTTATAAAAGCACCTGGTCACATTAGCAGTAAGCAGTTTCTGCAGTGAATCAGTCTGGCTGGTGTAAAAGCTCAAGCTGAACACACCAATAAACACAATAAAGGTCAGCCGCAGTAGAAAACTTCTAGAAAGACTTAAGTGTTTTGCATTATACATTTTATAGTACAAAACGGATTTAACTTTTCACTTTAACAGGTTTTAAGTCTTTAATTTTATTTATTTATGCATAGCACAACATTTCCTGTTTCCCTCCCAACCAACAAAAGGGAGAAACGTGCTTTTCCCGCTTTCCCTCAGGAAGCCAATACGGAAGTAACTAAAGCTGCAATTCATCGAAATTCTGCTAGTCCTGGCCGGTCCTGGCTCCATAATAGAGCAAATTTCAATTGAGTTCACTGTTAGAATGGCCAACTTTACAGCAGAAAAAAAGGTATTTACAGCCTGGTACAAAAAAAGATTTTGGTTCATACAGCTAATATTACCCTACTTGACAACTTTGAGGGGGGTGAATTTTTTTATAACTCATCCGTTTCTTTATCTTTTTCTATATTAAATTATATTAAGTTTGCATAATTAAGAGCGTGGCCACTTGAGTGACGGCTAGGTCTCGCTGGTCGCCGTCACTTCACCTCAGCTGAATCTGGCAGATTAGCCACTGATTTCGGCATATTCATCGTATTTCTATGTTGTTTTATGTGGCTTAATACAGTCAACTGCCTTTTGGACTTGTTTTCTACAATTATCAGATGATATGGAATGCTTTGTGCACTTAATTGTGCTCACAAACCATTCACGCTGCCTACTTTTCCCATGTGAGTAAAGTTATATACTTATATACCATCTCTATACATGTATTTGTTTTATTTAAGATCATTTATATTTATATTTAGAGCTGCAATGCACTCCAGAATCTGTCATATTGATTAGCTGTAGGCCTAAAAATGGGTGACGTCACGGACACTTCGTCCATATATTTTACAGTCTATGGTTTCGTCTCATCCAACCAATGGACATGTTTTCTGTATTCATTAATTTTCTCTAGGTTGTCCCTGGCAAACTTTAGTCTAGCTTGGAGATTTCTCTTCTTTAAAGTCAAATATACATTTTAATAGTGAACTAACCAATTTAGCAAAAACATATTATTTATATTATTATAGCCGGCAGCTAGCTCTCTGCAACTCTCACATGGTCGGCCACTGAAGCTAAGCAGGTCAATACCTGGATGAGAGACCACATCTAAAAGCTAGGCTGCTGCCGGAAGTGGTGTTAGTGAGGCGCCCAACCTGGAGTCTGTGTAGGTCGTAATACCCCAGTATAGTGATGGGGACTCTAAACTTTCAGTGAGCACCGTCTTTTGGACCGTCTTTCGCATTCTGGCCAAATTTGCCAACTGGACTCAGTCCATCATGGCCTCCTAACCATACCCGTATCATAATTGGCTTCATCTCTCTGTCTCCTCCCCACCTATCAGTTGGTGTGTGGTGTGTGGTGTGTGGTGTGCTTTCTGGCGCAAAATGGCTGCCGTCACATCATCCAGTGGGATGCTGCACACTGGTGGTGGATGAGGAGATTCCCCCCTATGTGTAAAGCGCTTTGAGTGGCCAGAAAAGCGCTATATAAATGTAAGGAATTATTATTATTTTTATTATTCTTATATGGCAATGTTGTTTATTAAATTGTTTATTTTTGTTAAAATACAATTATTTAATAAATGTTAATCATTAAAAATTGAAATAACTAAAACTATTTTAACTTTGAACTTTATTGTGATCAATCTTCTTAAACCCCTTTTTATTTAACCTAAATATTTTAGGAATTCCAGTAAAGGATGCAACTTTCATCCTGTAACTAATCTCTGTTTTAAATCCTTTTACAATTTTAACACCATTTTGAAAACAATTACAAAAAATGAGAGGTATATTTTGAAATATAAAATTTCTTGCTACATGAAAAGCAAAAATATCTATCAAAACTACTGCAAAAGTTACTACTGCAAGCCTCTGCTCTTTTGCTTTATTGTACAGTCCCATTACACAAATGTGATAACCGTCCCATGTTTCCGCTTCACCAGAGTGAGGTATAGGCCACTGAACCCTTCAGGCTTAATTGGACGCTGTTTGAACCTGCTCTTGAACTGTTAATTGGAACAAACCAACGAAACTCTGGGGAACCAAAGCAATTATCTTCTGAAGTGAACAGTGCCAGGACTGGGTTAATTAACAAGGCAGCTCTTCACCGTTAGCGGTATGCACATGTACAGTACAGACTTAGACTGACAGAATGTCCCAAAACAATATTCAACACTCAACATCACATCCTCTTTACAGCTGCTTAAACAACTTTAGGAGTCAGGCAAAATCATTTTCATTGCTAAATTTATTAACTTTGTTAACTAATTAATCCATCGATGTACATACAGCTACAGAAGAAAAACTGCAAGACCACTTGATATTATAGTTAGAATTATAGTGTTTTGAATGATTCTGTAAACTACTAACTAACTGCCATTTCCTGGAACTAAAAGCTCTAAATATGAATATTTCAGTCAACCTAATTCTCACTCAAGAAAATGTCTACAGTTAAGCTGTACAGGTTGTTTACATATCATACGAGAAGGACTTCTCACGAAACAGATGCTTTATACCCATAAACACTTTTGTATAAATGATCATTACTAAAATTTCTATGAACATGATCTGATCTGCAGATGAATGATGCAAAATAGCCTACTGTAACGTCTGCGATTATATTGAATAAATAAATAAATAAATAAATAAATAAATACAACATATTTGAACATATACAGACCTTTACAGTCTCTGATATGTTACCAGTAAAATTACACACAGCATACATTTAGTCCTTATTTGGGTTCAAAAACAACACTCAACATTTAGGCCAGTCAGTGCAAACCTCTCATTTGTATCATTAATCTTCACCAGCACATGTAACCTCTCGTTAGAAAGTAATTCCATCATTCCCAGTTCCTAATAGTCCAAGAGGTGATAATAATAGTTAAACATAGTTTGTTCAAGTTTGCTTCCCTTTGTTTTTTTGTGCGTCACTCTCGCATTTATTAATTTCTGACAGGATGGGATG